TCAATGTTGTTTCCTTCCAAACACCCACAAAAGTCGCGTACTTACGAACCAACTAATTGGCTTCCGCATCCAATGCATAGCCACCTACCCTACCACACACCGTAGACAAGCGAACGATGATATCCCCGACCGGTGCCTCCCGGACATTCGGTAATAGCCCAGCCAACAGACGTTATCGTGAGTGACCCCTGATGTCTTTCATGATTAACTAAACCAACACACCGATAGCGAAAGAGTTACATAAGTTATAATTCAATGCATAGGAACAATATGTACAGAGAAAAATACTAATAAGAACCGGAGCGGGAGCGAGACCCAGAGCCGCGACGACGTGGGCTTTGAGAAGCGCGTGCATCACGCCGGTCGTGCCTTCTGCTGCCTTTACCGTCTTCTACACCGTTATGACTAGGAGACCGGGAACGGGTTGGGGATCGCGATCGGGAGGCTGAGCGTCGTGCATCTGTAACCCGTCTTCGGCTGTCGTCGCGCCTGTCGCTGGACCTCCGGCCATTGTACTCGCTTCTGCCTCTCCTGCTGGCAGACCGTGACCTAAGGCAGTGATCAGAAAAGACTATTTAGTGGACGTTTAACGAGAAAAAGACAACCACTACCTAAAACAGATACCAACATGCTTACCTGGAACGTGAGCGGGACCGGCCTCTGCGCCCTGGGGGCCCACGTCCTCCATCTCTCCTCTCCTTCAGACGCATTTCAGCGGGAGCTAGAAAACAAAAGGGGGATAAATAAGTGGCGGGACGAGTGATCAGACGTAAAGGGAGAACATCCAGGAACACAACGACAGATCAACCACAGGCTATACACCAAAAGTGAAACGGACGCCCTGAGAAATACTAAGTCACACCTATTTGGGAACCCCTTGGGTGCATGCAAAACGCAACGCGCTGGGCTACGGATTGGACCCAAGAGGCCAAATACCCTGCCGGTAGCACCTCAAGCTATCATGACAGGAGTTCCAACTTCGTCACTCACCGTCATTCTCCTTGGGCGGACGCAGATCACTGAACAGCAGGAAAAACTTACACTCATACGACATAACGAAGGGGTCGCGAGTTACCCTGTTCACGACAATATCGAAACAATAATGGTCCAAGGGATCTAAAAAGGGCCTGATAAAGTGCCCAGCGTAAATAGACCCGGAAGGGTTGTTGCCACGTTAATGCCAGACCCGTATACTTCAACTCAGTAAAAGCACAGCTGACGAAGCAAACATCCTCAAACTCACAAATACTCCGTGCAATCTTACTTTTTCGGTACCCTCTAGTAAATTCCACCTCGATATCACGACCCATAAAGCGTGTGTGATCCATGTTGTAGTGAGCATCTTCAGCGTCCCTAGGGTCCTCGAACGTGCGAATGGAGTTAAGGAATCTAGCGAGCAGAAAAAACAACTCACCGACCAACAACTGGTAGCGATTGAAAGCCTACTGATTGAATTGAGGGACGACGAAAAACAGACGTTTGTTATTGATTGGCTTGAACAATTAGTGAATTAGTGGAAGCCGGGTGATCACGGCCTTGGAATCGACTTCATTCCAGCAGCTTGGGCAGCATAGTTGGAATTGATTTGAGCTATGGCCACTATTACTGAGGTTGGATTTGTCTTGCAACCCGCTGGGCTGACGTACTCTGGTTGAATTGTCCTCGACGGGGCCCTTGAAACGGAGGCCCGACAGGTGTAGGGGCTGAACTAGGCTCCATTGACAGGTTGACCTTAGCTATTGAACATCCTGAAATATTGATTTTTGGACTGTGGACTGAGTTGTGAAGTGCGGATTTTGGGGTGGGGCAGCCTAGAGAACAAATACAACAGAACAAACGGTCAGTTCCAGAAACATGCAGAGTAGACAAATGAACCAAAAAAGGATATTCGATAAATGCGAAACCCTTCATTCGCCCGGTGTTGAAATCCAACGGAATGGTAATATCAATTATACGTCCGTACCGACCAAATGCGCGACGGAGGTCCTCGTGCCTGGAAGAAAATCATGAACCTTCAAGGTAAAAAAACACATACCGGCAGGAATCGGGGAGATGACGCACATAGAGAGAGTTAGCCCTTCGAGGCATCGTCGACGATCGTCAGTAGCAAAATGGCGAGCGCGCCCGGAAACCAATGGAGCTAAGAAAACAAACAATAGGCTTCAGTTCAACTGGTGGTACATTATCTTTCGGCAGCATGCTTCAAAGACCAAAAGTGTGATGAACATGACTGATACTCTATTCGTTGCTCTATTCATTATTCTCTTGTTTTAATATTCCATATGCTGTATATATTCGTCAGTTCGAATACATACGTGCTGGTTGTTACGCTTCGCTGGATTCTGGATTTCTAGTTCGTCTGGTTATACCGATATACGTACGAAACTTAATTCTCACATTTTGGCGTCGCGATCGGAACGATTCATCATGCCTGCCGAAATGGAACCATTAGATGTTAATTCAACTGCGCGTGACGTAGAGGATTATTTGGAACGGTTCGACATATGGCGCCTCACAAAATCCGATATGGATGATAAGAAACTCACCGCATATTTCCTACATTTCGTTGGCAAGGATGCGTTTACGTTGATCAAAAATTTAGTATATCCTGAATCTCCAATCGATATTTCTTACACTGCATTGAAGAAAAAAGGTTCTTCAACACTTCAAACAGATTAACTTCGTAGCAGCCGAAAGAGCTAGGTTCAATATGTTGACCCGCTCCCATTCTCGGTCGGTTCGTGATTCAGTGTTACAGCTGCATACACAGGCAGCCAAATGTGACTACGGTGCCCAAATTGAAGACCAGCTGCGTGATAGACTCATTGCTGGCATTTAGATGCCCGAATTACAGCAGAAGCTGCTACGCTGCCCGGATCAGAAATTTCAAACTATCCGGAAAATATGTGAGCAATATGAAGATGCGAAGCATCTGGTCCTTTGGGTTGAACTTCCGGCATGAGACAGCCAGATGCACAAACCGCAGCTGGAAATCGAGGCCTTTCCATCGACAATTTTCTCTTTTTCGTTCTGGTGATCGACCACGTTCATAATAGCTATGGTGTTTTTTCTGGGCTTTCAACAACACAACTTGTTACTAGACCAATAATTGAACAAAGAATGTCCAGAAAGGGCGACGAAATTTGGATTATTTCACATGTATCCTTCAGCACAAGACCCTGGCAGCTTCGCTGACATCAAACACAGCGCTAAATCGGGGTTAGCTTGGATGGTCATATTCAAGAGCCGTGACTTTTAATCAGGTTATTGTGAAAACTTCGCTTAATTTGCAGATACCTGAGAACAAAATGCTTGATTTTTTGTTATCCATGTGCCAAAAGAACCGACAGTTAGACCGAATATAAAGTTGATTTAGTTGAGGGTCGTCCTAATGCACGTGGACATCTTGCTTTTTGCTGGCGGTACAAGGAGCTTTTAGAAGTTATAATAAATATTTCATCTGACACGTTGAACAGGCCGAAGCAGTACACAATTGCTGAATCTTCAGTGTAATTTAGAAACTGCGGACGCCACATGAGACTTCTGAAAGTTTCAAAACAGCGAGCTGTACTGCGGCACCCTCGGCATGGATCAACTCCAATTGCATGTTGGAACCTATACTAAGAATTCCAAAGTTTGGTCACATTGCCAGCGATCTGTAAATAGCTCAGAGAAAATAATTTGCGTGACGACCTGATCTTTTATTCGATCAGAGTAAGCGAACATGTGAGCATACGGTGTTAATTCCACTACAGAACGACTAGCGTTTTACTTTGACTCATCGTAAGTTGGCCACAATTCTGAGCAGCCGCCCGCAGCTGACTCATCATAACCACAGACCACCTGTGGCGTAGTCGTGAGTCTGAAACCTTTTGGAGTTTTATGAGATGTTTAGCGGTTAATATTCCCAACAACATAGAAAGAGCCCTTCAGGATAAGTTTGCCCCATTTATTGAAGCCATGGGGCTTTTTTTGCAGCCTTCGGGCTACCTTGGGAATCTGAGCTAACACGAACTCTTGAAATGCATGTATCACGTCCAATGTGCCGTGAATTTCTTTATATATGTATATATATATGTATACGCACATTGTAATGGATTGCACTCCGCAGCCCATTATCAACTGGTTTCACAGATTACTACACAGAATCAAGGCTTTTGATCAATTTTTTGGTCGGTTTCGTTTCTGTCGTTCGGAAGTCACCATTCATCTGAAAGGCACAAGCGCAGAAGTAGTGTAGCACTGCTTTTTACGTTCTCAGCGCCCGGCGGTAAGTTTGTCAGCGGAAGGGCTCGCATAGAGATGAGTCTAATAAGGCTTTGACCTCGGTTCTAGATGTAGCATTGGAATGTTATCCAAACGCTAAATACGAGGAAGTGAGAAATCATCCTGCCCAAAAAATGCCCGAATAATCTGCACCATGAGCTTGAAAATCTTCTTATACTATCTTCACCATGAATTGGCTGGAACAACAGTGAAAAAACCGTCGACCAAACCTTTTTCAAACGCGGAAAAGGTAAGAATTAGTTTTCCTAGGAGGCCACGATACTCCAGGATAAAGTGGTTCAGCATCACCAGATTAAACACCACGAGAATAATGAGTAAGGTAATGAACAGAGTATCATTCATGTACATCATAGAGAAGATGCAATGCATCACTCCCAGAACAGCAAATTCCTTTTGAGCCTATTTTTCAGGATGCAGTGAGAAGGACATGTTTAAAGTGCGCCAGTGACCCAAATGAATTTGGCATCCTTCTTGATAATTTCTTCTGATCCATCGTCGCCATGGTTTACTAGTGGGTTCCACGTTCCTGCTCCCAAGAAACAGGCTGATGGCCTGTTTCTGCTGCGATGTCTCGTGTATTTAGATAGCACATGCCTGCTTTCCCGGGGGGTCGATATTAGTGGCATGTTTTCGTTTGTTCCATGAGTGAATTTTAGTTTTACGGCAGTTCTCTGTTTTTTGAAATGCTAGCTCATTTTTGTTTCGTATGAACCCAATTTTGAGAAATATTTCGGACCTCTTAATAGTTTAAGGTAGCTTCCGTCTCAATTGACTGCGTGTTGTTTTTCTGGGACGAATATAGCGTCAGTCCCGTGAGCTTTCAAAACAATGATCGTATATAAGTTTTCCGCTGAAGCTGGTACCAGATGAGCATTCCTGAAAATCTGCACGGAATAAGTATCTATTCCACGTTTGAGGTTCGGGGTTTCTAGACAAGTAGAGGGGGAGGTCAAAGGTCAGCACGTGATCGTCACCAAGTTGCAGTGGGGCATTAGAAATTGCCTGAGCAAGGTTGTCGTCCGTTGACGATGACCAAATCCATGAAGGATGACTTTTGGCCTGCGCGGTATCTGGTGGGTTCGAGAAAGATGTTGATTCCAGCGCCGCTACCAAATGTTCACTAGACCCAACGCGTTGCGCACAAAGTAGTTTCATATTTTTAAGTAGCTTTCGGATGAATTGCGCATGAAGACACCGGTTTCCAACTTTGTGTTTGAAATAATCCATCTCACCGTAGATCGCAAAAATCTTATGCCACACTAGCCCCTTCCAGAATAAAGACTGAAACCCGCGTCCAAGGTGCAGCTTAAACAGAACTTTGAAGGAAGATGGATCAGAAAAAACGAAATTGATGGGCTCACGGTTATATTGCTTAGCGTTTCGACGACTGACTAAATACTGAATTTGTCATTTATTTTAAGAACTTGTTCTCAACATTGTTGAATGTTTAATAACCGAAAGTAGATTAAATGGAATCAGCGGAGCATCAAACTTGTTTCGTCTTCTGAGACGTCAACTTGCTCACTGACGAAGAATGGAGGTGTAAACAGCAGAAAACAGAAAATGGAAGTCTGGCAGTAAAGGCATTAGGAGCCTAGCGTACCTTAGTGCCATGCTTCTGTACTGGGTGTACTTCGGGGGTCTCAGACAAGCAGGGGTCTTAATTCAGCTTCAGGTCTCCACTTCCGTGGCTATCGCTTCAGAGAAAAACTTGCTGTAGCAGTCTATGATCAACGCAAAATATATACTGCTACGTATACATAGCTAGGGCCAGTTTTCGTGCTGTCTAATACACTGTCACCCGAGTTGCGGCTCTTGTGGTTGCGGTTGTGATAACGACACACCCGAAGCTATCCACAAAAGATGACACTTTCGGGCCTTTCTAGGGATCTATGAACCCTAAACATTTTTGTTCGCCCATACACAAGGTAAAACGTAAATAAGAGTTTCTTAGAAATTGCAGGCCTATATTAATCCTTAATCGGCTTTGGGTCTTCTTTTCTACGTCGCGGCAACTTCGTCACATGCCTTCGCCATAAAGCGAGAATTTCCTGGCCGGTTGCACTGCAGCAACGAGCTCTACCAACAGATTCCTTTTTGTTCGGCCTGATTTATGCCACTGGACTTTGCATCCGTGATAATGGTGTAAGAAGGCTACTTATTGGCGAACACAAACTAAACATTTACAAACTTTCCATCACTGAACTTCGTATTCGTGGTTGGATTCCTACGTTCGTCATAATCACGTTCCGACTAGTTTCAGTTGTCAAGCTATTGGGAACTTAACAAAAACCACTTGCTCCAACTTGGTTGATAGCTCGGCGTTGCCGGACGTGATTATTCAGGGGCATCTGCGCTAATCTTATTGTACATCCTACCGCTCCCGAGTATGCACCGCCAAATGTATATTGCGCTAGGCAGGCGCAGTGATTTCCACTTTTTCCCTCATCATTACTAGATTTATCCGATGACAGTTTTCCTTCAGCGAACAGAGCTCTGGCCTGGCCCAACACTAAGAGTGGGCCACTCCACTTTTGACCAAATTCACCACCCTTGTTGAACCCTTTACCTACCCCATACTGTTGTGTAGATCCTGAAATATTTTAACCCGAAGTTTATTCATCACAGCTTATCACTGTTATACGAAAAGCTTGCGGATTCTCGGTCCTACAAACTTTAGTCATGGGTCCAGTGTGCCGTGTGTGCCAAAATTAACTCTGAGCAATTTTCCCAGAAAAAATTGGCTTCTGTTTACAGGTGTGTTAATGTAAGTCAAAAAATCAACAAAGAAATTTACTGGGCCTCTGGAAAAATGGGCCTAGTTCGTGCAAAATAATTCTGGCTCCATATCACGTGACCGAGTCGTACATGACGGACATTCTCTACCAATCCGAAAGTGACGTGCC